TCTCCCTCAGAACCCGTCGAACTCGGGCTCTGATACCACTGATGGGAACTTGGTTCCCTCAAATCGGATCAGGGGCCTTTGTGCGGAAGTCAATCAACAAGATCCTGATATCAGATCTCGGCAATACCTCGGCATGTCTTCACCAGGTCGGGCAGCGCAGCGGAAAAATCAAAACGTAAACAGGAGAGAGAGAGAGAACACAAGCAGTTTTAACGTTGGAAAACCTTCTCCAATGAAGAAGTAAAAACCCACGGGACCTAGTCCAGATCAAAAATCCACTATGAAAATAATGGTTACAAAGAATCAAATACACCAATGTGGTGGTTAACTCAACCTCTCCAACAATGGTGATAATCAAACCTCCCTAGAGATGTTTCACTCAAACTCTCTCTAGAGATCTCTCAAATACAAAGCATAAAGCTTTGCTCTCAAATCTCAAACAAATTTCTCTCAAATATCAAATCTCTCTCTTAATCTCTGACCTAGCCTCCACCCTCAACTAATGAATATATAGAGCAGGAGAGATCTAGGGTTTAGGGTTTTTAGGAAATTCCTCAATGGGTTTGAGCTCAGCATTGAAGGAGGAAGTCCAACACATAATTATAATATTAAAATTATTTTTTCTCTTTTCATCACATCACCGGACAACCTTATGAAGGGAGAGAGAAAAAAGCTTTTAAAATTGCAATTTAGGACAAAGTTATAATTAGTTGCTGCAAAAAAATTTCACTTATAACAATATGAGAAGTGATTTTGCCATATAATTAAGCACCTAGAAATGATTATTTCATGTTAAATTTTATACAAATGATAATATCTTATTTTAATATATTTAACGACACGACACGATTTCCATATAGGATGACCATTCATTCCTAAAAAAAAATAATAATAATATTTTTCCAGTTAAAATAAAGTAATACTTATTTCTTATTTCTCTTCGGTAATTAATAATGATTTTGATTTCTATCCACCCAAAATAAAAAATGATTTTGATTTCTAAAATGTTACGCGCCAAATCAAGTTGTGTTGGCTTCTATACATGATCAATATTAGTGCTAATTGGTTTCTTCATCCTGTCTTGTGTTGTTAATATTGTCTAAATCAGCGCTTCGATAATTGTCAAGTAAAATGTGTTCAACACTTCTTACATGGAGTATTACCGCTTGCTTGTGCAAGAACGTACCGAAAAAAAAAAAACAAAGGGGCAAGAGAGTGGCACAATATTATTCTTTTATTAAACTCACAGAAACAATGTATACTATACGAAAATTAAAATCCAATTAATAGAACAGCTACATAAATATATATAACCCACATGCATTTTATTAATTTTATGATAGCTAGTAATCATGTGGAGGCATAAGAGAATCAAATAACACTGAATTATCCCGTACTCGGATTAGTTGTTGTTGTACCATAATTGCTTCTCAAGTTTTTCAATTACGCTCTTGTCAACCTGAAAAGCTTTGGTGAGAACATCTGGAGAAATTGGAGGATTAGCGCCAAACACATTATTTGCAATTATGGTAAGTCCTGGGTTTTGACTGCTGAGACCAGAAATGGCAATAGCATTGCCATAACCCACGTTAAGTTGGAAATGAATGAGACCAATTGGGAACACAAACACATCACCCTTGTTCAAAACCTTGGTGAATAGACGATTGTTTTCTTGATTGGATGATACAAATCCAACCAAAATAGTACCTTCAATAACTATAAGGATCTCTGTGCCTCGTGGATGAATATGGGGAGGGTTCAAACCCTTGGGCGCAAAATCTATGCGAGCTAAGGATATGCCAAGTGTGTTAAGTCCAACTAATTCATTAACAGTCACAGTAGTCACTTTTGAGCCAAGTGAGTTTTTGGTATTCCCAGGATTCACGTGCAAGAAGAAATCTTCAGCTTTCACAAGATTAGGGTCTTTGCAGAATTTTCCATTCACAAATACTGCAATTAAGTAGACAAAGTTTATATATATAATTATTAAAAAAAAAACTAATTATAATGATTTTTTACATACGTGATCTAAATGAAATAGAAATTTAAAATTCGAGTAGTAAGACTTATGGGGAATATTGTATATACGTACCACCATTTTTGGTGTCATTGATTGCCACGCAGAAATCTTGCAGAGGGCTGGGGTCATAGGCAGAGGCAACAGAGGATGTCAAAGCCAACAAGGCAACGAGGAAGTAGATTGCTTTCATTTTGTTTCTTACTACTACTCTTAAATGATTCTATTCTATGTATATGTAATTGCTTGAGAGAATTTGAATTTGTTTCATGGAAAGCTTCCTATTTATAGGGAGGAGCCGTTGAAGTGGTTTGCAGTTTATCCCTACGGCAATTAATTGTGTATTTCATGGAAGAACCATTCTTTAACAACTACATGCGTGCTGGTTCAGAGATTAAATTAGACTACGAAAATATAATGTTCCACATTAACGACAAGACACATGTTTTAAGTATTACCTCGTCAACTGGCAGTGTATAGAGTATTTCTACCTGAATATTACTTTAATAATGCATTGAGCGGGAAATTAAATTGAAGTTTTAGAATTGTTAGTTTTAAGACTCGGTCTCTGTTACTGAGCCCTGGTCGGTGGCTTTTACTGGGCATTTTTAGACCTGGTGCAACATATTATTTCTTTATTGTTTTCTAAACTTCAAATTTTGACAGTGCATGTCTCCGTTTAAAGTGTAAATACTATCGTCAGGACTCAGGAGCAGCTAGAGGAAGAAAGGAAAATTTGTAGGTAATTAAATTGGGTCAAACATGTGCTTTAGTTAACTCCTATAATAAATAAATAAATAAAATTTTCAAAATACTCTTCATTAATTTCTCTAATTTTCAAAACGACATAGTTTTGAAGTGACATGACAAACAATAATATATATATATATATATATATATATATATATATATATATATATATATATATATATATATATATCAACGTTTCTCCTGTTATAGGAAATAAAGTTATCTCCTGCAATCCCAAAACGACTTGGTTTTAAGGTTAAAGATTAAAATAATCAATTTATAAAACAACAACCCAACAAGATTTTAATCTAACCCATCTCAAAAACAGCAGACTATTTAGCGATTTTTTTAGAGTTTTTGAAAGTTAAAAAAATGATTTTTCAAATTATTGGTCACCAATTTTCTTGGCACAAAAATATGTGATTTTTGTATTAAAATAACATAAAATAGGGGGAAAGCTACAGGGGAACGAAAACTCCAAAATAAATTTTCATTTTATATCAATAAAACAAGATCAATTTAAAGAAAGATTGGAACTTAATTTCATAACATGAACCCTATGTTTCATGACAATATATTCATAAACGAAATTCCTTCACTATAGGAAACGATTTCAAACAATTTTTGTGTCAGCAGATCATTAAAATCTTATTTTTCGAAAATCTTAAAGCAATTTAAGGTTTCAATGTATCGATTGAAAATAATTTGAGAAATTTTATAAACTTCCATTTAATAAAACTCAGAAATTCAGATTTGAAATTTTCTTGGAATACTCAATGAAAACATGCATTTGATATATGGTTAGAAAACTCTTATCACGTAGAACAAAAACCCCATGGTTTACAAATCAATTGCAAAAAATTCTAAATGAAATTTATCATGAATTTTACTGATTGAGAATATTAGATTAGGTTTTACTTTTTTGTATTAATATCATTACATACCTTTGTTATTTTTTTTATTGACTCTTTTAATTTTGAATGTTTGTTAAAAGTTCATATGGTTTTTTAAAATCTTATAAATCTATATTGTCCTTTCAAATCTTATAAATTCTATTAAAATCCTTTCAAATCAAATCTTATGAAATCTTAATTGTAAAAAAGTAGTGTTTAAAAACCCAGTCCGACCATCGACTCGGCCGAGGTTAGGGGTCATGGGGTCACAAGTTCAACTTGGGGGTCATGGGATCACTTCGCTGACCCGGTTTTATACAATAAAATAATAAACATATATCTACATGAAAAATTCAAAAAAATCAAACCACAATCATTAAAGATTCAAAATATACTTAACATAATTCAACCAATTACATCTACAAGTCAATATTCACAAGCTAATCGAAATATCAAACTATCAACGTATAAAACACATATTCCAATGGAATTAATGAATATATCATCAAACTCAGGCATTTCTTGTCTTTCTCATGCACCTACAATAGTATGTGAAGTTAGATCTCTTACCCAATAGAGAATTGTGGAGGAGAGGCGACGACACGACAAATTAACGGTGGGGAGAGAAGAACCAGCACTGTGGAGGATATCACCGGAACAGGAAGACTGGATCTGGGAGAGAAGATCAGAAGAAGAACGATTCAAATTTCAGATCTAGTTCTAAATCTAGGCAACAATGAATTTTTGTTTTGTTTCTTGTTTTTTTTACACATCAAACGACGTCATTATGTGTATTATTTTTATTTTTTTTTTAAAAATACAGTGACCCCTTTGACCCCTCTAATCCGGGAGTTACGGGTTCAACCGAGGGTTAGAGGAATTAATGTGCAAGTAGGGTCTAACTATTAAACCGAGCCCTCAGAGAGGGGGTCAGTGAGTCGAAGGGGTCAGTGAGCTGAAGGGGTCAACTCTAGGTTGGGGCGTGATTTTAAAATACTAAAAAAAGTCTTTTGAAAAAGTCTTTAAAGTCACATTAATTCTAAATAATCTTTAAAAATCTATAAAAAAAAATTATCTTAAAAAAATCTTTTAAAATCCTAATTGAATCCACACCCTTAGTTTTTCTCCAACAATAGGCAATTCTTGGGCTCTTGGCCAAGTCTTCACTTTGGGGATTGAAACCTTTTAACTACTACATGCTTTCATTGATGAAATTGTTTGACAGTAAAAACGGGATCCTTTTTTTTTCTAAAACGAGTATTGATTATCTTAATGACTTTACTCTGGCGTGCGTGGGTGTGGCATGATATTTTTTCAAACTTTGAAAATAATTTTGGGTTATGAGGTGTATTAGAGTGGCTATATTCATAGAAAAGAGTCGAAGAACTAGTCTTGATGTTGTGCTTGCCTTGCACGAAAAAGAGGAAAGAAATGGTAATTGTACATGATTATGGAATTTATTGATCATCAACACCTGATTTGTTCTTTTGGGGTTTCTTTCTTTTTGAAAATTTCTTAGGCCTTGCTAGTGCTTCTCCTTAATTAATGCTTGAAAAATAAAAAGGATAAACTCTCAATTTGATCCTCTGAAAATTAACGTATCACTATATTAGTCTGTTAAACAAGTTCTAAGATGTATGGTGATAAAACCGGATGTACAATCAATCAATCAGGTGGTGGAACGTTGTTCTATGTATTAACTTGAGGATCCTGGTACGAAGAATTAGTACCTTTACAAGAGATAAGTATATGTATTAGTGATGTGTTTTTCGTGAAAGAAGGTACAACGAATAAGTTCTGGTTGTATATATGTTTGGGCCGGTGCTTTAGAGTTCAACCCTATGTACATGCAGATGACATGTCTTATATAGTTAGTGTAGAGTATATACAGTGGATATGATGAATCCCGACAATAGGATATTCTAGAAGATTGTCAGCTGAATGATTTGGGCTTTTCAGGATCAAAATTTACCTGGCAAGGTCCAAAATGGGGACATCTTGATAGAATCTATAAAAGGCTGGACAGAATTGTGACCAATAGCTCTTGGAGAATTGATTTTGAGGATGCTACAGTAGCTCATCTCTTCAAAACTCAATCAGATCATAATCCTTTGCTGCTTAAATTATCTGGTAACAGTAAGCAGAAAGGGAAAAGACCTTTTAGGTTTATTGCTGCTTGGCAACAACACCCTGATTTCCAAAAAATTTTTAATGATCATTGGTTAAAGGAGTTTGATGTGCCTTATATGCTGCATAGGATAGTGCCTGATTTGAGGAAGTGGAATAGAACAGTTTGGGGATATTAATAGAAGAAAAGAGAACATTTTAAGGGGGATTGAGAGGATTCAGAATCAAAGGCTGTATAATGATGCTTCTAGTTTAAAGTGACAGGAAGAGAATTTACAACAGCATTTGAACACTGTCTTAGAAGAGGAAGAATTGTTGTGGTTTCAAAAATCTAGACATCAATGGATTGTGGACGGGAATAGCAATACTAGATTCTACCACCTGAATACAATTATCAGAAGAAATGAGAATAAAATTGCCAGATTGAAGAATGATAGTAATCAGTGGATTGAGGAGCCCGAGGATCTTAAAAGGGTAGCTTGTAATTTTTTTCTTAGTTTGTTCAAAGAAGAGAAAGCTGATAGAAGGTGGTTAATTTCTCAGAATATGTGGCTAGCTCTACTATCAGAGGATATTCAAATGTTAGCCAGGCTTCCTACTCAGAATGAAATTAAGAAGGTCCTTTTTGATATGGCTCCTCTCAAAGCACCAGTATAGATGGATTTTCGGCTGGTTTTTTTCAAACTAATTGGGATAAAATGAAGGATCAATTATCTGAGCATATTGTTCAGCTTTGGGAAAATCCTGATCTCGTGGCTACAATTAATGCTACTCTTATTGTTCTTATCCCAAAGGTTCAGAATCCTGCTCATATGGCTCAATTTAGACCCATATCTCTTTGTCCAGTAATTTATAAGCTGCTGACCAAGATTGTTGTGCATAGGCTTCAGTGCATAATGGCCAAAATAATTTCTCCAGTCCAAGCCAGCTTTGTTCCTAAGAGGCATATCCATGATAATATAGTTATAGTGCAAGAATTAATTCATTTTATGCACAAAATGAGAGGTAAAAAACCTTTCATGGCTATAAAGGTGGATTTGGAAAAAGCATATGATAGAGTAAGTTGGGATTTTATGAATAAAGTTATGAAGGAGATTCAGCTTCCGGATAAGCTGATTCATATCATTATGGCTGCTATTACAACTGCTAATTTTAGTGTTTTATGGAATGGTGAAATGACTGATGACTTCCATCCCACTAGGGGAATTAGACAAGGAGACCCGTTATCTCCTTATCTCTTTGTCATGGGCATGGAAAAGCTTAGCCATATAATTAAAACAGCAGTTGATGGGGGTATGTGGAAGCCGATTAAAGTTGGAAATAGATGGCCAAAGATTTCTCATTTGATGTTTGCGGATGATCTAATGTTGTTTGCTGAAGCTAGCGCGCATCAAATACAAACTGTTCTGAAATGTCTAGATTTATTTGGTGAGATCTCAAGTCAGAAAATTAGCATTGAGAAAACAAGTATTTTCTTCTCCAAAAACACTCCGGATGTTGCAGCAGAGGAAATCTCCAAAATTTGTGGGTTTAAAAGGGTTAGAAATGTAGGTAAGCATCTTGGTGTGTGGATGAAGCATGAGAGGGTCACTAAGGAGGTTTATGCTAGCATTGTGGAAAAAGCTCAATCCAAGATGAATAGTTGGCAGGCTAAGTGTCTCTCTCAAGCTGGGAGAATTACTCTCACTCAGTCTACACTGGCTTCAATGCCTTTTTTCCAAATGCAATGTGATAAGATTCCTGTTGCAGTATGTCATGAGCTTGAAAAAATTCAGAGAAGATTTATTTGGGGGGATACAGAGGATAAAAAGAGGATGCATTTTGTTGGTTGGGAAACCCTTACAAAGCCAAAAGAGAGTGGTGGGCTGGGATTAAAAAAGCTTAATTTAATGAATGAGGCCTTTGTTGGAAAAATTGCCTGGGCTATTTTTAGCCAATATGATGAACTCTGGATTCAGGTTTTGTATGCTAAATATGGAGGTCAGAGAATGGGAACAGATATTTTTAAAAGCAGGGTTAGTGATTCAAGGCTGTGGAAATTCATTTGTTTGGTGTGGAATAAATTAGAGAAGCATTTGATTTGGGAAATTGGTGATGGTAATAATATTCTTTTTTGGAAGGATAATTGGGTTAAAAATGCAGGTAGGCTGATGGATAAAGCCTTAAGTCTGATTCCTTGGGATGAAGTGTGTATGAAGATGGCTGATTATATAGACAGTAATGGAGTTTGGGATCTAAACAAGCTTTCAAGGTGGCTCCCAAATGATGTTCTGCTTAACATCCGAGGTATGCTCCCCCCGGATCCTCATGATGGGATGGACCACTTGCTTTGGAATTTAAAAGGTGATACCAAAGTTTCTATTAAGGGTATTTATGCCACTTTATTTGGTGCGGTTGAGCAGCAGGATTTGGCCCCTATTTGGAAGAAAATTTGGAATTGGAAGGGACCTCAGGTTATTAGGCTGTTTATTTGGAAAGTGCTTCACAAAAAAATTCCTACAAAAAAATTCCTTAGCCAGTTTAATATGGGTTCAGCTTCTTGCCCAATTTGTTGGGAGCATAATGAAACTTGTATTCACTTATTGAGAGATTGTAATGATATGAAGAATTTGTGGTCTGATTTGGTACCAATAGATATGCAGGTTTCTTTCTTTTATGCCAATTTATAGGATTGGATAGAACTAAACATGTCACAGATTAGTTTTTTCAGGGATAATATCCCTTGGTGTACATGGTTTGCTACGGCTTGCTGGCTTGCATGGAAGAGGAGGAATGAAAGGTGTCATGACAATCCAAATCAGGTTCATGATTATCAATACAAGATTCAGTCAGTGATAGCCAAGGTGAGAGATATACAAGATGCTTTTCATAAGGTTAATTTAGCTCAAAATAACCTGTCCCATTCGGATACTTTGATTTGTTGGAAGGCTCCTGGAAGCAATTGGGTAAAGATTAATACATATGGAGCGGTTAAGGGTAATCAAATATTAGCAGCTTGTGGTGGTGTTATTAGAAATGATGTTGGTCAATGGTTAAAAGGATTTGCTTATAGAATTGGTAGTTGTGATGCTCTTACTGCAGAATTCTGGAGTATTTTAAAGGGTTTGAAACTAGCTTGGGAAGATGGATGGAGAAATGTTATTGTAGAAAGTGACTCTAAATCAGCTATTGCTCTGCTCACTCTTGATGGTGATGCAGTCCGCGAGAATCATCTGATTTATCGATTACGGACATGGATTCAAAAGGATTGGACAGTTCATCTGGTTCATACTTTCAGAGAAGGAAACTGTTGTGCAGATTGGCTGGCAAAATTTCCTTTTATGAATGTTAATTCTGATGATTTTTGTGTTTTTAATTCCCCTCCCCTTGGAATTGGTCTGCTGTTTGATGCAGATTTAGCTTCTATTTGTAGAACTCGTCGTATTTCAGTTATTTAATTTGTGCTGTGGTGTGTTTTACCCAGCTTACCAAAAAAAAAAACTTGAGGATCCTGGTACGAAGAATTAGTACCTTTACAAGAGATAAGTATATGTATTAGTGATGTGTTTTTCGTGAAAGAAGGTACAACGAATAAGTTCTGGTTGTATATGTTTGGGCCGGTGCTTTAGAGTTCAACCCTATGTACATGCAGATGACATGTCTTATATAGTTAGTGTAGAGTATATATAGTGGATATGATGAATCCCGACAATAGGGTTATACCGTGACTGGGGATGCTATGTCGTGGTTGGTGATGGGATCCGGATTTTAGGGGTTTAAACATTATGCATTTAATTAGGAGTGGCAATTTTCAACATGACTCGTTGACACGACATGAAAAATTTATGTTTAGGTTGATCCATTTTCAAATTCGTGTTGTGTTCGAGTTAGGAAAAACTAACTCGAAAAATATTCATATCGTGTCTCGTGTCTACCAGCGAACCTGAAGTTGACCCGCATTAATTTTCTTACAAGTTATTCGTGTCGTAAACAAGTTATTCATGTTGTATCGTGTTATCTCGACTTTCATAATAAGTAACACAATTTGAGGTTGATAGTTTATTCATGCATGTCATGTTGCGGGTTATTAGTGTCATATCATGTTAAACTGCAAAATAAGCATGTCGTATTCGTATCAAAAATTTTAACCTCATTTCAAATTCGTGTCGTGTTCATATTTATGTTCGTATTAAATGTATTTGTGTTCATGTCGTGTCAACCCAAATTGCCACCTCTAGAACTTAATGTTAGGGTTAGGGTAGAGTTACGATTTTGTCTTACATATAATTAATAAAACAGGGGATGAGTGGGGGGATAGAGAAGGATCCCTAACAAAACATTTTTATCATCAAATTAGTTCTTCGTATATATATTAAGGGTTCGTTTTTTCTGCAGTTAATGCAGATAAATTATCTGCAGTATGCCTAAAACGACGTCGTTGGGAGATGAAAATCTTGGTGTTTTTGTAATTTTAATTTATTTCAGAGTTATTAGTCTTTATAATTATAATTATTTAATTTATCAATCCTAAAACAATATCGTTTTGTGAGTAAATGCAGATAACTTATCTGCAGTAACTGCAGAAATATTTTTCCCATATATTAAAGCGTCAACACATAATATTTACAAAAAAAAAAAAAAAAAAAAGTGTCATCACATAATCCCTTAGTAATTTTTTTACTAAACTAGGACAACAAAGATACAAAATATTCATCATATTTGCCATTTTATGTCACCATTTAGTTTTTTATAGTAACAAATTTTGCGAATATATTTTGTATCTTTCAATAACTAATTTAAGGGGGAAAAATCGTTGGAGAATTAATATTATAACATTTTAATCTTTGAAAGATGTTTTTAATGAGAGAACTTTTTATTAGATTAACGTGACGACATTTTATATTTTGAGAATCAAATTATTGGTTTACTAAAATGAAAACCAACAACGATAAAAACATTTCTGTTGGTGCAAAAATTTTCCTCTTGTACAATTAATTATATATAATTATGTATTATGGGTAGTACATATTAATAATATTAAAGTTATTTTTTTTAATAACACGTCAACCGACAGTCTTATGAGGGGAGAAAAAAAAAGCTTTTAAAATTAAAACTGTGTTCCGTCGTGAATACAAAGTTATAATTAGCTGTTATAAAAAATTTCCCTTACAACAATGAGAAGTGATTTTGCCATATAATTAAGCACCTAGAAATGATTATTTTATGTTAAATTTTATACAAATGATAATATCTTAATTTAATATATTTAAAGACACGACACGATTTCCATATAGGATGACCATTCATTCCTTAAAACGTAAAAAATAAGAATATTTTGCAAGTTAAAATAAGACTAAACACCCTTTTTGGTCCCTAACAAAAAACACGGTCCCCACTTTAGTCCTTTACAAAAATAAATTAGTCAGTTAGTCCCTAACAAATTTAAAGTGGGCCCATTTTAGTCATTTTGAGAGACTAATATTGGTTTTTTTTGAATTTGTGAGGGACCACGATTTCAACTAAATGGGTCCATTTTGAATTTGTTAGGGATTAACTGACTAATTTATTTTTGTAAGGGACTAAAGTGGGGACCGTGTTTTTTGTTAGGGATAAAAAGGGTATCTACTCTTAAAATAAAGTATTTCTTATTTCTTATTTCTCTTCGTTAGTAATGATTT